TACTGGTTGATACTCATCTCTAACCACCCAACAAGATATGTGATGGCCCTGACCAAGCAGAAAATTATCAATTATATCCTTTGTCTGAAGTTAGGTGCATCATCTGATCAAGCACTTGACTTGTCTTAGAGTAAAGGTAGTTTGTTTTAAATAATTATAATAGTTGTGTTTTTCATTGCTGTAGGGCACCAGATCCCAAGCACTGCAAAAACGCCCATTTGAAGTCTTCCAATGCTCGGCCCATAGGCGCAGTGGTTATCAGAATGGCTTCGAGTGGTTGGCTTCCTATATAGATTAGGGTCTGTTGTGTTATTATAAGATTTGAGGTTTTCACAGGGTGAGTATGAAGATTTCTGTCTTCTGGGTTGTTGCACTGTGTAGTCTGGTCGATGTTTACCATACCACACGGCGCAACAACCCATACTCATCGCCCTGATGATGGAGGCAGTATGACCTTTGACCTCAAATCTTACATATATGTTCATTGTTCTAATATTAATTAGCAAATAAGTATTTATAATAAAATGTTTTTTATTCTTAAAGTATTTGTGTGTAACAGTTGTCTGTTAGGTAATTCAAGTCATAATGTATAGACCAAATACTGCGAGCATAATGTGAAGTATTCCTTCATTTGAAAAAATGGACAACAATCTCATCACTTATGTCCCTAAATAAATAATACTGGGTCATTCCATGTAAAATTTAACATTGCTGTCAACCATGTCATCACAAACTTTCCTATCTCTAATGGTCACCACCATCAATTCTTGTCTGGCACTCATGATCATTTGTTTATTTACTACAGACAATTGTACCTTTACTAGGTTTAGAAACTACCAATTTAACTTTAAATGCTATGAATTTTCAGAGTTATATCGGTTTCTTCATTTATAGCCTTTTTTATATATTCTTGTGACAAAGGTGTATTCAATGCCATACCTATTAAACAACAGTAGTACTTGATACCCCACTTACTGGTACCTGCACCTTTTCGTGGTGGTGGGGCTTGAGTACCTCAGTCATCCCAAGAGCTACTGGTAGGGCCTC